TAAAGAAAGGTGGTAAAGCAAAGGTGAATCATTATGCAGAAACCGAGCCTGAAAACTTGAAACGACTGTATTCACAGAAGACAGATGTATTTGATGTAACTTCTCCAAGTCATCTTCAAAAGAAAGCTTTCTTTGAGATCATGCTGTGCTTCTGTCGAAAAGGTGGAGAAAATGTAGATGGTTAAGCCTACATTTAGTGTGGATACCAGACGGCAATATGAGTTTGTCCACCAAGTTACTGACGAATGGAACAAAAATCACACACTCGATGACAGCTTTAATGATACCATTGGTGAAGGAAAAATGTATGCTATTCCTGCTTAGTTCATTCTTCAACATTTCTATTTATATTGTTGTAACTATTGAAATACACTAATGTTAAATTGGTTCATTATTATTTATTTTTGTTTATTATTACTTCTATTTAAGATGTATTCAAGTAAGCTCAACCCTGCTCTAGGTGTACAATGGCGTTTGGTAAATGCTGCATCTGATGATGATATTTGGTGCTGTAATTCTCCAGTTGGTCATAATACTCTGAACAAAACTATGATTCAAATTTCGAAAGACGGCAGCCTTAGCAAAATATATACAAACCATAGTATTAGAACTACCACTGTTGTCATCTTAGATGGTACTCACGAAGAGCGACACACAATTCGATTAACTGAACACAAGTCAGAAGAGAGTATTAAACATTACTCACGGACTAACAAACTCTAAGAGAGAAATGTTTGGTACTTTCTCTACAGTATTAGGTCTGGAACCACGAGGTTCCAGTTCTAATGATATGCATTCTCACTGTGATCTAAAATTTGAAATAGTTTTGGAAGATGACATCATTGAATCCATTGATGATGGCCCGAAAGTCACTTACAATCAACAGTAAATATTCCTGTCCCACAACCAACTAGTAATATGTGTCCAGCTACAGCCATTCAGGAGAGTCATGTAAATTGTCACAGTGTGTTGTAAATATTTATTATCACAAATGAATATTTGTTTAATTTAAAGATTAATGTTTTTACTACTTAATGTTGTTGTTGATATTTAATAGGAATGGCGAAGCTCATTGTCAACCGAGGCTTCGTATAATATCGTACAGTGGAAATATGCATTTGACAAATATATATTTCTACAATATTTTCTCTGACGTTGACGTCAGCATACACTAGTGATTAATTCATTCAAAACTAAGAGAAAATATTGCGGAATTATACATATGTATTTGTGAGACCAAGTTATGCAAATGAGGCTTGCTTTTCACCGCCATGCACTTTGCCAGCATTCATCGGCTCATATAGTGGGTTGTCTACTCCATTCTTGTCTTTCATTTTCTGCAAAAAAAACCAAAAAATGCATATAGTATATATATATATATATATATATATATATATATATATATATATATATATATATATATATATATATATATATATATATGTGGGGGAGTGTATATAAATAAATACATAAGCAAACAAATATCAAATTTAAAGCAGTTGAAATCAATTCCAACTTACCATACCAGTGTCGTCACTTGCAAATAACGATGTGTCTACGTCACTTAGTGCGAACTGGAAATTAATAACACATTTGTAATTAAAATGCCGTATACTTTGACAATCGTGTGCCAGTACTGCGAAATAATCATATTATATACATCATGTTTGCATACTGCATAAAATTTAAAACTATACACTAATATCAAGAGATTAATACGATTGTTCATTTTAACCTAAATAATTAATGTTACGATCAGTATCTATTACTGTAACACCACATCATATTACTGTTAACACCACATCGCAACCTACAAATATCAAAGTTGTTGGGATTGTCAATGAGCTCTTTGGATCGCTAAAACTACATGTCCATTTCTGTTGGGGTGAACATTTCTATAATGTAACTTTTTCTCAAACTCGCCCACCTCATAAATAATAAGTGCTAGTTAATTAAAGAGATACCACGAATAGATACCAAGAATAAATAAAATGTAATGCTTACATCAGTAACTGTGTCAGTGTCATAGTATGCATAAGTTTGGTTCATTATGCTCTGAGAAAACGGTGATCTAATCGCTTCAAAACGCCTGCAGAATAAACATATCCACCAACAAGTAATGTATGTTAAATTAGAACATTATCATAAGCATTACTGAATATCATCTTCGATTATATGCAAATGAATTCTATCGCAAGTTCCAAGTAAAACCATTTTTCCACAATCACTCTCACTGTAAACACAGTTTGTTGTTTCTATCACAGACAGACAGACAGCTGACAATTATTTCATTACCTCCTCTGTTTTCTTCTTGAACAATATACAGCCAGTGTAACGATGGCAATCAAGACCAGAAGTATTACAGCGCCACTAACGCCGACGTACAACACAGTATCTATAAGAAAGGAATATGAATAGTTAACGATAACCATACATACCGCATATGTAAAGATATTGATACCCGTTAACGGCTCGCTCGAACCTTGGCAAATGATTACCGCCACCATCGTCTCTCATTATACCAATTATTGGGATGAATTATTACTAATACTTAGCACGTGTCTATCGCATGTGAGGTATTGTTAAAATGGTGTTTTCAAATCACACTACTGCGAATTAATTCGCCATACCTGATTTCATCTTTCAGTAATGTATGCAAGCGATGGGAACTTTCAGCCAAGACTGGATATATAACTGCGTTTTAATTATAAAATGATTCATTGACAGTTTTTTGAAAATATGATTCGATGTCTCACCGGCCGATGTAGCCATTTCTCCTTCACCTAATGTAGTAGCTACAGTCGATATTATTGTTGATTTCGGCTTCGTTGTTGTTGACCGTGTTCTTGTAATCGATAACGTTGACCAGGATGTCGGTGTTGATGTTACTAGGTAAAATATAAAAAAATAACACGATCAAACTATGAGTAGTAAAAGGGATAATTTGAACAACAACTATAGCGAAAATGTGAGCTTATATAATATGACAGACGGTATTTTGTGTCGAAGCATATCAAAAACCACATTGCACAATTCTGGCAAAACCGAATCAGACCGGACGTACATTCAGTAGTTCGAGCAGCGGTACTTGTGGTGGCAGAAGTCGTAGACATTGATGGCGTTGTTACTACTGGCAACGTTCCCTGATACTTATCACATCCCGTAGTGAAAGATATGTCATCTAATGCTAAACACCCTTCTTGTAGTTCCGCAACACCTTCTATCAATATCTACAGAGAACAAAAAAGAAGTAATCTCAATCTTGAACAGCTCAATCGTATTGTTCGATCGATACCACGGTCCAATTACCAGCCGAAAATATCACCGTTATTTAAAAAACATACACAGTCTGTGTCACTCGAATGAACCATATTACAGTGTTATACAATGTTCCCCCACATTCAGATGAATCAAAACAAACAAACGAAACACATCTACATCACCCTTATATCCCGAATCAATATACTTATTTTTTAATATTATATAAAGCATGCTCTTCGATAAGTAATTCAAACTACTAAGCATTGATACTGCTACGAAGGACAGGTTAGCATGTGTTTTGCCTTTACGCCACGACTATCAATGCGCCGGTACTCAACAAACTATCTATACTCGTGCACATTACCTTATTTGTCTCACAGCAATGCTATTGAATTTCCCCAAGCTTCCAATGCGCCAAACCACAGATAACGCAGACGTACAAAACAAAGTGCCACACGTACACGACAAGCATTTCAATAATAAAAACGGTACAGAAAACAGCCACCTTATTCTGTTTTACGTTGTACAACGATGAGATACATGTTTATTTCATTACCTGAAATGGTTTATTCACGTGTAATGACATTTCGAACAGTGTCCATTGGGAGTGTTGTGGGTGTGGAATCGATTGATACACGTCAGGCGGAGCACCGCCGAGTTCAGTGATAATGTAAATATTGAGACTTCCTACGTGTGCTGGGGTTGCGAAGTAGAAGAATCTCATCTGTGGACACAAGTGTGATTATATTTTAGATGTACATTGGCTGTCGAGATCTCGTTGAGAGAGAGAGGGAGCGACGAGACTTGTTTTTCTCTCAAAAAGTATGTATTCCCTTTTCCTGCTATCGCGTTTATTGCTCGACTGATCTATGTAACTATGGTATCATGGTATTTGGAACAGTACACGCTATGAGGGAGGAGAATGTAGCACTGTTTAATATGGCAAAACAAGTTTTCTGGGTCTCTCGTTCTCGAATGCCGACGACCAGGTTATATCAACATTTTATTCACATTTAGGATTTGGTCAACGTATATTATTATCGATGCATCATAGTGATTAGAAACATTCATTTTAATAGAAAGAAAATTGTGAATAGTAGTCAGCCATATATTTTTTACTTATTTCAAAAAATCGATTGAAATACAACATCGTGAGGGCACTTGAAAAAATCACAAATCGCGGCCTACTTCTACATGGGTGATCATAAGTATTTGCTTCCAAATATTTTAACACATCGCTCGAATTATTATATTCCAGAGTAAGCGACATTGAATTTCATAAATGAATATTCATAATGTTGATTAAATTTAAATTCACGTTCATATACGTACATTGCACGAATAAGTCGGTTGTAGTAAAAAACTACCAATCACTGCCTTCCCTCCTACTGGAACTCCATTTGACACGTCAAAATGAAGGAAATACCCTACCAACAAAATAAATGTAGATAATTATTATTTGTAGATCTGACATTGATCAAATTTCCCACTTATTGTATTGTACATGGTAATAATTTTTACATTGGCATTATTGCGTTACTCACCGTTATTACTGTAAGACGTGTGGTCATAAAATGGTTCGGTGATCCCATGCGTGAATGGTGTGTGCCTGTCCCAATACGAATGGCCCGAGAGCACGTTTTTCCAGCCACAGAAGTCATTGTCAAAATCACACATGATGTACCCGGCTGTTGGATACCAAGATATATAGTATACGTGATGTTCCTCTTATATGGATAGTTAACGACAATTTTCATAATGTTGAATGAAATTTTACGTATTAAATTACGAATGGTGTTGACTTATTATATCATAATTCGATGGGTGTCATATCTTTGGTAAATGCACAAAAAATAGCATAGCAAACAAGATCTTGTAGTTCGAAGAACATTATACACACTTTTTTCTGTCAATGCAACAAGACTTCATAATTGGTATGCTCATACATATATACATGTTAATATGAATTTGCCAGCTAGCTGCACGCACGACCTGGGCCCTGGACTGTGAGTATACTTACCACATGTGGATTCATCAGTTTTATCGATACAACAGTCTGGCTCAAAGTTGCATGTTTGTGAAGCTGAATAACAATGCCCACTTTGACAAGAAGAAAGACCATTACAATTTGACGGCACGGATTCGTAGGCACATCCACTTGTGAACCTCACATCGTCGATAGCTATGTATGTAGAATCACCACCCGATGGATCAATGTGAGCATATATTTTGATCTAAAAAAATGGAGTAAAATCACATTGATAAGATCCCACAAGTTGTGTCTACATCGAAAGATAAGTGCAAAAATATTACGATAAAGACTTTTCCGTTTTCGACGCTGTTAAATTCTTCGTTTTTTTTGGGAGAAACAACCCTGACAAAATAATTCAGAAATTTATATTAAGAATAATTCATAACGAAATGTATTTCATATGCACCCATAAATAATTTTCATAATTACCGATTACACAAGAATATTACATAAAAAAGATAATTTGCTATATTCTCTATACTCTTTCCGTTTATTTGTCTCAAATTATGGCTGAAAGGAGCTGAATCAAGCTGTATGGTGTATTTAACAACTCATGTATGAACAATAACTTTAATAATTATGATTTTACTTGTTAAAAATACTGTATTTTTCTGCATAAAAACGTAAGAATTTCAGTGTTAAAAACGGAAAATCTTTATCGCAGTGTTGCATCCTTAATCCAGTAATCATCAACCGACATGACCCAACCCACAAACGTAATTCGGTTCGCCTATATCCACAATGATGGTATATACACAACAGCGTGAGTATCGTATTGCCGTTTATGTCGCAATTGATTTCAATACGTGTACGAAATTTTAAATTCGTATAGCTACCTGGAAATCCTGAGAACATGGAAGGGTGTTTATTATAACCGGCGTCCACTCATTTTCTATTAATATGGCCGATTGCCAAATTAATGTCTGTGTATTTGCATCTGTCAGATATACAGCCAAGGAGCCACTGGCTGTTCCCATTCTAGCATGGTAATACAGACTGAACGAGCAGGCAGAACTAGACTGTGTATATGACGGACTCTCCAAAACTGAACTTTGTGAATCGGTATCGCCAAGAAGGTACATATATTGCCCTGGGAATAATAATGTGAAAATGAGTACATGTTACTGCATGAGTTTGCCAGAATTAAAATAAACATAACGCCAATTTTTGTTTCTATTGTAACATATTAGAATAGGTGTGAAAATGTTGGCCTATAATAGGTTACGTAGTGTGCCGTGTACAGCGTTGTTTGGTCAACCAGCTGATGAAGTTGTGATTAAGTAATATACTTCTGACGCAAATAGCCACCGCGATTTTGTTCAGAACGGCAAAACCGCGAGAGTTTTCACCCCTCAAATAGCGTCTTATATTCTTCAGTCATCGTATCCACTTTTCAAAGTTAAATCATTGAAGTTGTATATAGGGCAAGACCCTGTATATAATGACAGCTTTGAAAGATCAATAACTGTGACATCACAGCATGCTCAATCACCTGTATGAGTACTTGTTGAGTGATCCTGTGAAGGGAGTCCTGGTGGAGGGGTGCCTTCTTTTTTTAACCACTCGTTGTTATTGCTAACCGCCTGAGTCCAGCCACACATACCGTCGTCAAAGTTGCACACCAGCGCTACAAAGAAAAATCACACTGTAACATGAAAAACACGAACAGTAGTCATTCACCTAGATCGTTGAGTTGATTAAAAAATCCAATTGTGCGTATCCTTGGTTACAGCGATTTGGTTACCTGATACAAGAATGGTGAATTCAATGAATTTGAGAAATTAATTTGAACTGTGAACAAACGATTGTGTTATGATACAAACAAATTGACATGAAAGTATATTTAATTTAATCACCCGTAATTAAACATACGAAGAAGTACAATAAATGATGAAGAAAGTGTTTAAATTTATTATTTGTTTGAACAATCAGTAGCTTGACTGATAAGAGCTGATACGTATATATTTCGTCACATTTGGGCCCTCAAATACGACCATTGAAAATTATATAGGGGTGTTTTTGCATGGGAGATAACGCTAGTTTACACTGAGTTGAGATCCACGTTTTGTAAAAGAACTGTCCTTTATCAATCACAGCACACGAGATGTTTAATTCCATTCTTGTCTACATCCCCTATGAAATCAGACACGTATAGTAAATAATAAGCATCATGACACTGAACGATGAATAATAAACTGTATTGACTGATATATTAAAGAATGTTCGTATAAAGCGCCTTCCAGTAACGAGGCGCTTATATGACGTAAACGGACGACATGAAGGTCATTTAAAGATTCGATATCGTGTTGATCTGTAGTCTTCCATTAATAAGGTTTATGTTTTTTATTTATTCACCATATTCGAAAATTACTACACAACCAGACAAAGATGTCGATTTGAATGGTATTGTCTATTGTATTAACCATATACGTTATTTTAACGTCACAGAAGCACCCGTCACCAGCGGGCATGACTTATAAGCAATGGTGCATCTTAGCGAGCAATTGCATCTATGGTTGGTTACTTACGACACGATATTTCATCGGAACCATCACTACAGTCGTGTCTAAAATCACACACGTTTGAACCATCAATGCACTGTCGATCAGTAATGCACTCCATTCCATCACTGCCACAGGGAGGAGGGACTAAAATAAAACAATTATATAAAACAGGTACATTGTGACTTGTTAAAAATAGGTTTGCGCAACGCGTGTATGCTAGTACAAATAAGTACCTATGTACAATTGACAAAAAAGTAACTTACTTGTAGGACCATGCGTTAATTCGTTGTTAGGGTCCAGTTTACAATGAGGAGTGAATGAAACATCGTCTATAGCAATATCACCACGGTCACCTGACCCTCTAACAGCGGAAATCACAACCTGTATAGGACTTGTTTATTTGAGTGTATTTGTAAAGGGTGAGATCAGTGACAATATCAATACATGTACATCTTTTTATTATTGTAATATATTTTAGTTTTATCTCACATGACAGCACAAAAACAATTAAAGCTGGTTTAATAGATATGTTTCGGCGTTTCTGTATTTCTTTACTTGCTTTCGATGCATGCGCCATTAGACATATAACTACGAATAGGCAAGCTTACATGACCAGCATTTGTTATTATCTTGATTTGATAACTCATGGTGTGGAACAAATAATCACGAAACGGTGGTTACAGCTATAGTTAGCATGTGGGCCAGAAAGTGAATTATTACAGACTTGCCTGGAATCTCTCGGCACTCATAATAGTAATATCTGTTCTTGCCCATTCGTTTCCTTGATCTCCACTGGCAGACCACTGTTCTATTAATTTACCATTTTCAGTCATACGTATGGAGACGCGCAAAGTACCAATATCTCGTCCATACATATGATAAAATAACCTCATCTTGAATATGTAACAAACGGCAGAGGGTTAATATCAATTTCACTCACGTGACAAAAGAAAATCTAAATAATGACAATTGCCCATGTTTATTTTTAAAATGTTTTTGCTTCGGCAATGTCTAATTTGTCAGATACTTTGTTTATGACATGCGATTTGATATATAGGTACGTAGCAGTAATTAATTGACGTAATTAACTGATAAAATAGTTTATATTGAAAGTGTAAATAGTATTATACAACACGAAAAATAATAATAAAAAGTTCTCAAGTTTATCCACATAACGGATTCCAAACAGTCCTGTATTGGACTTAGCATCAATGGTTTTCGGGATATTTTCTTGCACAAGCCATCCCATTGCGCAATATATAGATATGATTGATAATCGTGCGTTTATTATTATTATACACCTACTTGACACGTGTCCGCAGCACTGAATACATCACTGACCAAATTAGCTACGTCAGCCTGTCGATTCTGGTAAGATACGTCGACGTAAGCGTATTGACCTAGCGAGACAAACCAGTGTGTGTCCGGTTAATACAGTTATATCTCTTCACTGCTTTCAAGTTGTTACACATCCAAAATTTGTTCGGCTATATAATATCAGTTAATACAAAAAAAACTCCATAATAGTCTTTACCATGACTATCCCCTCTGGTGTGATCAGCATCAGGCCCCGTTTCTGGTGACATTGTACTACCTTCTCCTAGAATCCAGTCGAAATCGTCGTCGTTGGTGCTTTGGGCCCAGCTGCAGAATCCCGTTTCGAAGTTACATCGATCAGGGTACATTGCTATAAAATAGTTCAAAACATGAATTTTACAATTTAGGTGTCAGAGAGTGTATCAATCGAAAATGTTAATACGACACATTGCATATAAGATATATTTAAATGTATAATTTCATATATCCGTCTACTACATGGCTTCATTGAATTTAGGGCAACGTTAAAACGAATTAAAGTTTGCCACTCCGTTTGATATCATATATTCAAGTAGGAAATGCAAAAGTTAATTATATTGCTCTGAAATGCTATTATTACAAATATATAGTACCATGGCGTTGTTTAGTGACAGGGCGTGGCATTTTACTGCACTTTTTCAACAGTCAGTAAACATATGATCAGAATACACGTTTCAAATAACCCGGCTAGCATAAGTGTTTTTTTAACACTACCTGCTATACCCTGCTATAATATTTTCGTACAACTGATTTTTGTCAACGTGAATGATGGTACACTTATATATCTTCGAATGAAATCCATCCAGTTGACAATTAATTCGGCGTTCGAGACATTGCTTCGCGCGAATCGTGAAACGATTGATCGTATCCTATGTTTATCTTGAGTTCTTATTATATTTAAGAGTGTCCATTATATATTAGGCTTGTTATTGCTACATGGAAGATATCTCATGAGCGACTCTTCAATATCAGATTTTTAAAACTTAAGTATCGGAACAAACAAAAATTAGCATACGAGTTAAATCAATCTGGTGTTGTAGAGTCACACATTCAATATCCTGTTTATCCCACTTATCCATTTCGCTAATTCTAAATGCTGAAAACTAAATCGGTGATCGCAATTTGTGAGCGCGTATTCAATATATCGTAGAGCATTTATATGATTGACACGGTTAATGAACACTGTATTCCGTTAATTCACCAAATTGCAATTAAAATTATTTCTATTTCTTGAGACGCGTGTATGAGTTGGTGGAGGCAAACGATTGGATGGTGCGCACAAGCATGTACATACGGCACGCGACCTGCTTCAGCGAACACGTTAATATAAAGTGGTGAAGGCCACTGATTGGATGGTGTCTACGTGTAGATGCATGTATACAAGGCACGCGATCTAATTAAACTGCAAGTTTATATAGGTGTCATTGATTGACATGGCGAGACAACTCCCAGAGTGGATAATATAGAGTAGGGCTGGTCATCATATAAACTACATCGTATGGCCGATTTTTCATTTGACATTTGTGAATTTCTCGTCGTGTTGAGCCAAACTCCGAGAAGGTGCATGTTTGTTCCCGGCAAACTACATACCCTTGTGTGAGAATACTTTTTGGCGCCTTTACAATTTTGAACCTCTTGACAATTACTAAGTTGAGAGTCAATTCACAATCCCTGAACAAACTGCGACAAGACACGGGTGAGTAAATTTGTGGTTGGAAGAATTGTAAATGGCGTCGAATGCATAGGGGCTTTATATTAGACTCGCGTTTTAGCCGACAAATTGCCAGACTGTATTCAAAATATTATATTACAGTAATTCAATATACTATTTCATAATGATAGAATGTACAATTATTTTATTTCATTCAGCCGTTCACCAAAAAAAGTAGTGGAATAAAGAGAAACTATCAATCGTAGAAAACTCTTACCACACATTGAAGTCAATTCATCCGTACTGTCATCACAGTCGTTCGTAAAGTCGCACACAAGATTGTTCTTAACACATGACCCGCTGTGGCATTGATATTCGTCATTTTGACACATGGGATACATTCCTGATACTGCACAGTCATGGAACAATATGTCATCTATGCCAATGCCTTGAACACCCGATGTGGACATAAAACTCCCAAAATAGAGAACCTGCGTAAAAAATAGCACGTAACTTACCAATGCAAGAGTATGCTTGATGTATTTTTGTCAATCAGCGTATAAGTTTTCGTGAATACCTGGATTTGACCGCTCCATTTTCCAATATATATTGTCTCTTGCTGCCATGCCGTTGAGGTGGTGTCTGTCGATTCCCAGATCAACGAAGACGATCCGTTTACAATCAAACTTACTATTAAAACAGTTCCACTCTGCAAGACAGTAAAACAGAACTCTAGGGATCTGAAACTTTATAAACGCGATGTTAAATTATTGAATGTCAAAGCAAGAAGTTGTGAGAATCATCGAAATACAAAACGTTGCTCCATACCTCTGGTTGGAGTCGCCAAAAGCTCATTGAACACTGTTCCGATGTATCTGGAAGAGATGGACTGTATATTCTTGCTATGTTGAAATTTATTCCATTTCCGTGATCTAATAACATGTACCAGCCTGGGAAAAACAGAATTTCAAATACACATGTTGTTTAATCAATGTACATTCAGGTTTCTCGAACAAAGAACTGCATTATCAAACAATGTTGGTAACCATACCATTTCCAGTAGTTTTATCTGCTCCCTGCACTCTATTCCATTTGAACATCCCTTGACTATAATCCTCATAACCACACAGGCCTGTTTCGAAATCACAAGGACCTACAAAATTTATAAAAAATAATATATACATGGTACATACTACATGATAACAACAGTCTGTAGATCAAATACAAAAAGCAGTGTGTTTTCGGTAGCCCAATCTTGCTGCTTCTACATCTGTCATGGCTAAACCGGCCAGTGAATGATGTAGACTTCAAACTGTATGCCTTGTTTTGCATCTTGAATTTTCGGAGTAACACTGAATCTATTTATTTTTCAATTTTACCTGAAACGTATTATTTATTTCAATTATTCTCAATCTATTATATACCAATGTAAGAAATAAATAACGAACTACGTAATTCTTCACCTTTTCTGAATAGATATAATAAATATTGATTTTACACTTACCGCATACCATTTCATCAGATTCATCTGGGCAATCGACATTCCAATTACAATAATAATTAGTGTAAATACAATATTCACCATTAGCGCAAGGCCAGTAACCTTCTCCGCATATATTATATGGTGTTGTTGGTAGTGGTGTTGTACCAATCGGCAAATGGCCTGAAAGGAAACAGTTAGATAATTAATGTATTATCTCCCATTAAAAAAGTTCAGTTGATAATAATGCATAAAGGTTTCATAATACCTCAAGAACGACACCGTCCACACACATCGTATATGGGAATATTTTACTTGGTCTTTACTATAGCCACTATATGTGAGGAACGACGTACTGGTTACCTTTATGCAATATAATTAGTGCAGCGAATGACTGAATATACAAACGTACCGTTATAGACCTGGCAACCAGGGGTAAATGAAATATCGTCAATGGCAATTACAATGCTGCTATACTTCCCCCTTACTCCCTCAATTATGACCTGCAGAAAATGACAAAAATAAATCCGTCAACAAATTAAGCACAGTATATGTGAGCTATATCATTGTTATTCTCTGTGCATTACAAAATTTGTATTCTCTGTGCAACCCACAGCAGAAATTCCAATGCACAGTGTAACACTGTGACTGACAGCCAAACCTGTTATTGTTGGACAGGTGAACATTGTACATTAGGATGCTTAACCTTAATAAATAACCGCGATCTGCCATGTAATTTCTGACTAAGTACGTGCAGGTTCCTCAGGCTACTGTATTTGGGGATATTACAGATATATGTCTGTGTTATGACGAAGAATGAATGTGTATCTTGTCCAGTTCGTATTCCAATGAGAGTGTACATGATACTCGTGACCCTGCGTAATTGGGGACATGCACACGTGACGCAATATTTAAATTGTTATACATTGAGGTAAATGCTTCGCGAATTAACAGAACTGCAGAGTTTAAACGAAAGTACAAGAGGTACGTCACAGTTTATAAGTCGATGGGGCACTTGGTTAAAACTTGGGTACACAACCTTTAAAATGTTGAATGAGATTTTGGACGCGCCAAACGAAAGAGGTACGCAACATGATGCAAGACATATCACTGGAGAAAGATGATAACTTGCTACTAACTTGGAAATTATCTGATGGCGATATCACAACTTCGGCTCTTCGGTAATAATCACCACTATGTGTAGCAAATGACCATACCAAGGACATAGGACCACCAACAGATGTTCGCGTATATATGTTCAGTGTCTGAGTATCAAACCCAGTCATATAATACCAAAATCGCATCTAAAAATGAGAAGTAATAATACAAAAATAACCATATTGTTGATTTCAACCAGCCATTAATCCACAACGGCAAGTATGCAGAGCCTAGAGCGTGTGTTAGAATGTCATGGTCGTAAGTTGTAAGAACTTAACTCGTGCGTTGTAACTTTCAAGTTAATTTGACATTTCATAAATTTACTGTTAGCTTGTCATGAAACGTGATTTATCGGGACTATCCAATAGTAAAAATCGTGAATTGTGTAACAACTCCTCATAGGGAACTAGGACAGAGAGTAATGTATACAACTTAAATATTTCAAAATTATAAAATATTTAACATTCTTTGCAACTCTATGCGGTTCATCTATACTACTTTTGTAATATGTATAGTAAAGACATTACATACTTCACATTCTTCAGTTGGGCTTGGACGCACAAAGTACATACTACCAATTCGAGCACGGTCACCTCTACTTGTGGAGTGGAATGGAATGTACATATAATGGCCTATATCCACGTTATGATGAAACGAAACAAAGTAAATCAATTGATTAGCCAGTCTTTTATATCATGGTCACGTGTTTTCAAGAATATCATTAAAAATTATTGTCTTGACAATAAAATAATAGGTGTAATCACATACACCGATGCGACACCAATTACGTACCACTATACGTTTTTATAGTGTGATCTCTCTTAGCTCCACCGAACGTACCACCACTCCCTAATTCCCAGTCAAGTTCATCTTCATCTAGATTAGTCCAGTCACACATCCCTGACTCAAAATCGCAACGTTCATATGGATCTGAGAAGAGAAACCTGTGAGTATCAACCGATACACTGATTTTAAATATTGTGTTTCGATTCACTTGTCAAAAAGTATGAAATAGGCTACATCTCCAGATTTCACTGGCGGTGATGCGTTTTGTTACGCCACCGGTGTAGGTTTGACTTCAGAGTGTCTATTTACGGAGACGGCTACCTCCACCCCGGAAATAATTATTTGCATAAGTCTGAAATCATATCAGTTGATAACATTTATATTATATGACCAACGCAAATAAGACGAGGAAACAGTAATTTTATATGTCAACGCTTACGAATCATATTTTAATGACATCTAAGCACGCGTATATACAGTCACGGCAGCCAATGTTTTCGATAATCAGCAAAAATCACCCTTTTTTCAAAATAAACATTTAATCGGCATGACCATGCGTTAATATCAATGCAATATGCGAATCATTGTTGTTATCCAGTCTGAAAATATTATATTGCTACAATAAATATGCTACTGTCGAACGTTTTTCTGTACGTTCGAACACAAATAAAATGACGACGCGTAATAGATTTTTTGACGTTTACCTTACCATACCCTAGCAGTGATATTCCACGACAAGCGTCACCACAGCGATTATATAATAACACATGCTTGTGAGGGTAATATCACATATTGTTGCCT